ATGCTCTGTCACCCAGGCTGGAGTACAGTGGTGTGATCTCAGCTCACTGCAACCTCCACCTCCTGGGTTCAAGTGGTTCTCCTGTCTCAGCCTCCTGAGTAGCTGGGATTATAGGCACGCACCACCACGCCGGGCTTTTTTTTGTATTTTTAGTAGAGACAGGGTTTCACCATGTTGGTCAGGCTGGTCTGAAACTCCTGACCTTGTGATCTGCCCGCCTCAGCCTCCCAAAGTGCTGGGATTACAGGCGTGAGCCACTGCTCCCAGCCCTGTTGACTTTTAAACTTGTGCCTAGTTGAAATGTCTCAGGCCTGAACTTTTGCTGCATCATGGGAATACCTGCTGACCAGGAAGGTAGAGAGAATGATCTTGTACCTCCCTCCTTCTATGTGGGGTTTCTTCTCAGCTCCCCTCTGGTCCTGAGCCTCTCCCTTTCTCAGACACATGTTTTAAACAAACAATTGAGTTTCTCCTCTGTGCTGGGAAATTTATGTTAGAGACTGGCATCTTTGAAACGATTTGTAAGTGACTTAACCAGTTTATCCTGACAGATGTCATTTGGGTTTTTTTCCCCAGTGTGACACTAGTGTCCCATTCTCTGAGTACAAACTTGGAAAAAATTAGTGATGATGCATAGTATGTTCACAGTGCTTGTTTCTCCCCCTCAAAAATTGGGCTTATGAGTGCTTCTGTTTCCAAGGATGCTTGTGTGGTGAGCCCAGCAGATCTTTTTGCTGCTTCTCATTGCCACCAGCTTTCTCTCTGCTGGATTGATTGGGCTAGGGTTAAGTCTGTCAAATAGTCACTGAAAGCTGACCTCTCAGGGAGCCTAGGGGACACTGTCTGTGGCGTGTCCCCTAGGCTCACACAACAGTTGTGGCTGTACCATATGGGTGGGGTTTGTCTGTAGCGAACGGACTTGAATTCAGCTGCGCCCCATCTCCTGGGTTTGTTAAGTTAGTGCCTGATGCACCTATTGGATTTCGTTTAACAGACACCCTGTAGACCTTGAATCTGCAGAAAGCAGCTCCGAGCCCCAGACCAGCTCTCAGGACGACTTTGTAAGTACTTTCTTTGGATGAGTCTTTCAGCTTGGGGGTCGCAGGTGAATTGTTAACACGTGCTGCCTTGCTGCCTTACAAACTGAAGTCTGGGCTGGGCACGGTGACTCACGCCTGTAATCCCAGCACTTTGGGAGGCCAAGGCGGGCAGATCCTCTGAGGTCAGGAATTCAAGACCTGGCCAACATGGTGAAACCCTGTTTCTTCAAAATACAAATATTAGCCGGGCATGATGGTGGGTGCCTGTAGTCTCTGCTACTCAGGAGGCTGAGGCGGGAGAGTAGCTCGAACCCAGGAGGTGGATGTTTCAGTGAGCTGAGATCGCACCACTGCACTCCAGCCTGGGCAACAGAGCAAGACTGACTCAAAAGAAAAAAAAAGAAAAAAACCGTCTGCTGGGCACAGTGGCTCACGCCTGTGATCCCAGCACTTTGGGAGGCTGAGGCCAGCAGATCACCTGAAGTCAGGAGTTCAAGACCAACCTGGCCAACAATGGTGAAACCCCGTCTCTACTAAAAATACAAAAACTAGCCGGGTGTGGTCGTGCAGGCCTGTAATCCCAGCTACTCAGGAGGCTGAGGCAGGAGAATCACTTGAACCTGGGAGGCAGAGGTGGCAATGAGCCGAGATTGCACCACTGCCCTCCAGCCTAAGTGACAGAGTGAGACTCTGTCTCAAAAGAAAACAGTTTTAAAATGTATCGATTTAAATGCTGTCTCCTGTCCTGAGACAGCCACTATTTGTGGTGTTGTCTAGGCTTTTAGAATTCTTTCTGTGCTTATAAACTATGTACATGGCCAGGTGCAGTAACTAGTGACTCCTTCCTATAATCCCAGCACAATGGGAGGCCAACCAAGGCAGGAGGATTGCTTGAGCCCAGGAGTTCTAGACCAGTCTGGCCAACATATACTCCATCTCTACAAAATAAAAATAAAATGTGTGTACATCTAAACTTCAGTGTCTTGTAAATAGTACATGTGGTTTCTCTTTGCAGTGTCACTATTAAAATCTCAGTTGCACGTGAAGTGTACACCTTGCTGTGCATTACGTCACATGATTTACCACATAAGCTGTGGGGGTGTAGGAAGTGGTCCCTGTTTTCAGGGTGAGATGAATGTCAGCTGACCCATGCTTCTGTTTTCCAGGATGTGTACTCTGGCACACCCACCAAGGTTAGACATATGGACAGTCAAGTGGAGGACGAGTTTGATTTGGAAGCTTGTTTAACTGAACCCTTGAGAGACTTCTCGGCCATGAGCTAACTGCCACCTGGCGGCCACGAAGAGAAACAGCTCCTCCCCGACTAGGTGGAAGGCTGGCCAGGCACCAAGCATGTGTGTGCACTTATACCTGGTGGTTTCTCTGTTAGTAGTCCATTATCTCATGATGAATTATTTTTGCCTTACTTTCTTAAGAAACATTAATAAGAAACATTAATTTTATGTATAGTGAGTGTATTTTGCATGTTTTAAATTGTAAATGGCGCTAAATCCAAGAAAGTGTACTTGAAGCAATCTTCCAGCAAGCTTAATTGCATAATCCCTGTTGTCCTCCAGGGTAAGCTGACAGGTCTACTTAACTGGTTTTCCACAGGCACTTCAGTTGCTGCTTGTCAGATGGACTGTTTTGGATTTAACCGTGTAATCCATGGGACCAATTGAGAGTCAGCTACTTTTATAGGCATCAAAGTATTCTCAGACACCTTTAATATCTTTATGGAAACTTAGTTTTTGGCCTTTTACCAGTATGTCATAACAGCACTCTGAAGTCAGACATTGTTAAATTGAGCTATTAAACTAATGGGTTTTATGTAAGTTATATGGTCTTAATTTGGTACTTGTAAATAGCACTAGTTAGATTCTTTAGAATACTCCAAGAGTTAGGGCAGCAGAGCAGAGCGATTTAGAAAGAACATTTTAAAACAATCAGTTAATTTACCATGTAAAATTGCTGTAAATGATAATGTGTACAGATTTTCTGTTCAAATATTCAATTGTAAACTTCTTAAGACTGTTTTGTTTCTATTGCTTTTGTATGGGATATTGCAAAAATAAAAAGAAAAGAACCTTCTTTAAGTGACTGAGGGTGTTGCCAGGTGGCCCAGCTGCCATGAGAGCGAGGGTCGGAGTTGTGTCTGCCTTTGTTGTGTCTGAAGCGAGTGGCACTGGGTAAAGGGCCTTCTTTATTTTTTTAATGTTAGTTTTTGATAGAGTTTTGCTCTTGTTGCCCATGCTGGAGTGCAATGGTGCGATCTTGGCCCGCTGCAACCTCGGCCTTCTGGGTTCAAGCGGTTCTCCTGCCTCAGCCTCCTAAGTAGCTGGGATTACAGGCATGTGCCACCACGCCCAGCTGATTTTGTATTTTTAGTAGAGATAGGATTTCTGTAGGTCAGGCTGGTCTGGAACTCCCGACCTCAGGTGATCTGCCTGCGTCACCCTCCCAGAGTGCTGGGATTACAGGTTTGAGCCACCGCACATGGCCGGGGGCTGCCTTTCATAGGTGTCATGTCATACTTGGTCTGATGCTTATCAGCACTGGTATGGCAGCCTTCCCTGTCTCCTGGGACAGACCCTGTGGCAGGACAAGCATCAGTCTGAGGGTGCCCCTCCCCCACTGTCTTCACCCTTGGACCCTGGCTGCTGCCTGCAGACCACTGGCCCATGACCACAGCCACATGTCCCGGAGATCCCTCCAAGTGATTCTGGGCTGGTCTCAAGCCAGGGGTGGGCTCAGGTAACTTTGTTCTAGGAGGTTGAAGAGGGCAGAAGCCCTTGTTTACTTAGCTTGTTTATGGAGACCTCAAACAGTGTCAGGTGGAGGGTGGTAGACACGGGTTGTAGCATGTGCCCTGGTGAGGAGACCCAGCTTTTTCAGGGTGGTAGGAGGTGCCTGATTAGGTGGCATTTGGGGAGGGCAGCAAGCAGAGGCCCCGAAGTGGGAGCACTCGGCATTGACTTGAGAGTCCTAAAATGTGGGAGGAGCCAGCATGACTGCAAGCCTCAGCCTAGAGGAGGCAAAGGTGAAGGTCCTCGTTATGTGGTGACAGTTCAGTGGCACTGTGGCCTCCATCATGACTGCGATGGAGAGAAACTCTCCCGGATTTGTCACTAAGGAGCTGCTTCCCCTAAGCTGTGAGCAGGTCCTTAGCGACGAGCAGCACTCGGTGCTCTTAACGGCTAAAATTCAGTGACTTCCAAGCAAGTAGGACATCCAGAAGACAGCCGGAAAGGTGATCTAAGCTAAAGCTGAGGGTGTGGCATGAAATCCTGTTACAACCTTAGAAAGTGGAACCTTTCCTTTTTTTTGAGACGGAGTCTTGTTTTGTCTCTCACACGAGTGCAGTGGCGCAGTGTCAGCTCACTGCAACCTCCACCTCCTCGGCTCAAGCAGTTCTGCCTCCGCCTCTTGAGTAACTGGGATTACAGGCGTGAGCCACCACACCTGGCTAATTGTAGTTTTAGTAGAGACGGGGTTTTGCCACGTTGGCCAGGCTGGTCTTGAACTGACCTCGGGTGATCTGCCCTCCTCGGCCTCCCAAGGTGCTAGGCTTACAGGTGTGAGCCACTGTGCCCAGCTGTTAGAACCTTTCTTTCCCGCAATAAGGCTTCTTGCTCCTCTGCAGGAGCCCAAGATGGTGCTATTCTGAAAAGCCCTGCGGGTGTGGCTTCTAATGGAATGAACTCTAGAGTGACAGAATTACATGGGCGGAAGCTGCTGCCAGGCTGGACTGAAAGGGCCAGGCAATACAAGAGGCCTTGAACCCTCTAGTTCTGCCAGCGGGAAGTAGGAGGATCAAACTCTCCAGCTGCGCAAACAGGCTGCCTTTCGTGAAAAGGAAGTGGGTGGAGCCAGGAGCCTGGAGGACCGAGGCTGGCTCTCCTCAGGGGACTGCCAGGTGATGTGTGCCTAGCGGGATTTCAGACTTGCTGTGGGCCAGGGACTCCTGGGAGCATCTGCAGCAGGTGTCCTAGGTCTGTCCCCACTGTTCGTTTTGTGTGTGTGTGTGTGTGTGT